TTATGGGCTTTGTTAACGTTGCCTCAGTTCGTCATATGACCGAGATAATCGCGTTATCTCATTGACATTTTTCTGATATTTGCGCTCCAACAAGAATACGGGATCAAACCTGGCGGTGGGGTTTCCTTCCTCCTTATTTGGTTTTGTTTGCGGGCTCTGGGATGGTGGCGGATCTCGGTTACAAAAAAAAAAAAAAAAGAATACGGGATCAATGATTCGCATCACCAATGTATCTCCAGGAATTGCCTAGGAAAATTCCAACACAAGACACTTGCAAGGGGACCCATGCCCTTATTGCTCAAGGCACTCTTCCAACCATGATCTCACGACCCCTTTTTCTTATTTTTCTCTCCCATTGCAATTCACGTTCGTTTGTAGGACACTGTCCAAACGCTGTTCGAGAGAACGGTAATGCCCCAACTTTCCAATGTCCCCCAAATATCCACCTTGTGGCCGGCGGCATTTTGACCCGGACATGAAAGGAGGCCCCTATCATGGATTGTTGGGACATGAAGAACAACGATGATGAGGGTCGAAGAAAACTTTGCATTCGTCACCGAGCGAGGCAACTGTCGCGAACGAGGGCCGATCCGACGTCGTGTGACCCAACAATGTCGGTATGATGATTAGGAGCCCATTGGCTAGACCCGGGTGCTCCATTTGGCTCGAATGGGTCGAACTGTTCTAGGGTTACTGTTGCTTGCCTTTTGTGACGTGAGGCAGAAAAGAAAGGGCTTCTCGGTCATGGAGATATATGCAATCTCACTTGGTGTTTTCGCCATTTCTTTTTATTTGAATTGATGGCCACTTAGATCTAGCTTATCTCGAGGAATGTTAATCTGGCTGTACGATTGGCTTTCATCGCTGATGTGTTTGAATCAACTGGCAAGTTCAACAAATTATGGTTTTAAATGATACACCTATTCAAACTTGCAAAAACGCCATGAGCACAATTCATCATAAAAGCGTCTCACATGTCGATCATACTCCTTAGATAGAAAGAAAGTATGGATTTTTAATGGAACGACATCAAAGTGGAGCGGTTTGTCGAGTTTATGTCATGTTAGATTGTTAATGTACCTATATTGCCTCAAATTAATAATTTTTGGAAATCATATATGCTAGATTGTTTTTGTTATACTTTTGTTGTAGAGCCATCGCATTCTCTCGTGGAGTATACGTACGAGAATGCTTCTCAGCTTGGCTCTTGGATAATGCGACAAATGACCCTCTTAAAAAGCAAACGGAAATTGACATCAGCAAAGCAACTAGCGAGCGCATGCGATTCCCATAATTGGCACAAACTAAAAGCAGAGGTTCTCTAGTTTCTCATTTCCTTTATCGAAAAAGAAAAAGTAAGAAGAGAGAACAAAAACACAATGCGAAAACGAGAAGGGCTCTGATGGATAGGGCTCTTCATCCAGATTGAATTGTACGCTTTGAGCTGCCGATTAGACATAGTTTGCATCAAAACTTGCGAAGCTGTTCATCGAAGTAACTTAACATGTTCACCCAACATGTTCTCAGATTGTTGAGAGATTCCTGTCCTTTTCTGTGAACATCTGGATATTATAACCTTCAAATATTAGTAGGTGATTTCACATTCAATCTAATTCGTATTGGACATATAATAACTCGATCGATCAATTCACTATCTTCATGTTTTGTAAGCTCGTTTTCTATATATCTAGGGTCTATTCAAGATGTGGTTTTCCATATTCCACCCGGATAAACAAGGCAAAAAAAAAGGGGCTCGAAGCAAGCTTATGCACGACATGAAACGAGAAAGGAAGCGACATGAACATGGTGAATCTAGAAGCACGGGTTGATGTCATCCTTATCTAGGCATATTGCTAGATGCTGCATTGCCAGATTCTTAACACCCAGAATAGTTTAGAAGAGTTTGTGCAGATAATGATTCGATTTCCTACTGAAACGCATCGTCGCATTTGGGAGGATAATAAAACTGGGTTGGGACGTGATGATTGCCGTCTGTTCTTTGGTTACGTGATCGTGGGCCATTCCCATTAGTCGGATATCGGATCTTAGAAGTGCACCATATATTCTCCATCTTTATAGCAATAGTATATTTACATAAATAGCCTATGACAAATGAAGTGGATAAAGAATATAAGTTGGCAAATGGTATCGAATAATTCATAATGCTTGCCTAGATGTGCTCGAATACTACAAAAAAAGAGCCCAAAAATATAGCCATGTGATTGAAATATAGTATGAAGATCTGAATTAGGGTAAATAACTATCAAGGGAGTCCTTTGTTTGTTACAGCTCAACTATTCCTATAGTCTGAGGAATAGATAGGCTTTACGTCGACAAGGGCCAGCCGTCTTCTTTCCAGTTGGTGTTGATGCTTCGATTTACATTTTCCAACCAATATGTATATCCAAATATGGTGAGAAACAAATGAAAATGTAAATATATAAGAGCGAATATAAATTGAGAATTTTGCCAGTAGGGTCGCACTTAGTTCGAGAAGGCTAAAAGCGGTTTCGTCTCGTCGCAAAATTTTGCCTGAATATTCCTCCAGCACTCCTTGCTATGACATAAGATACTTGATCTATTTCGTCTAATCACATTGTGCAGAATATGGCCTAGCTATTCACAGTGGCTTATAAAATAAGCAAATTGATTTCCTTCTAAAAATGTATATCTTTTTAAATTCTTTCATATCTCTAAAGTGCTTGCATTGAAGAGAGATTAATTCAAAATCACGAAAAAAGAAAAGGGACGCTAACAGAAACAGCTAACACACAACAATATTGTACTCATACTTTGTTTTGTTTATTTATTTTGGACAAGCAATATTACTTTACTCATACTCGCGCCGATCATAATGGTTATTTTAGGAACTAATTGTGACAATTTTTGAGGTAAATGTGAATATCAAGAAAATTTGACTGCTACTTCAAGTATCACTTATGAAACTTAGATGTCTCGGGGCAACACTTCTAATTCATTAAACAATAAGAATCCCCAATAGGCATTAAACAATCATGTTTTTGGGTTTTTAACAGTTTAAGCATATGTGCTAAAGTCTGTCGCATTACTTGCTACGAGGTTTATATGTTTTTTTTATACATGTGGTCTTTTTCCTCTTATGAGTTTAAGTTTTGGGTTAAGATTTTAATATTACCAACATAATTATCTGAAACCAAAAAGGCAAATAAGTTCCTGATAGCATTATGCACAGCTTGGCACTTTTCTCCAATTTTGTCACTTGAAAATAATGGGGATTTAAGTTACAAAGAGAATCAATTCGCAGAGAGGATCACACACCTTAAAACTTCTAGTTCTAATCTTGCCCAAAATGATGTCTACAAGTAAAGCAACATCTTTGATTCCCTTTCCATTTTTCCACTCAAAAAACATGCGAATAATTCAAGGTAAGTGCAAAAAATGAAAAGCTCTCTTCTTACTACAGGATTCTTGATTGATTAAGCATCCAATCTCCATTTTATTTTACAGAAAATATAATTAACAATTCCAGGGGCTCATCGAGAACAAGTTCTATCGTCATCGAAGCATGTCAACCTGCCTCCGTGACTGTGCATAGTGCTCTTGCCACGGCAAGAGGAACAACAGAAGAGATGCTTATAAAGTGCACGATTAACTTATAATAACTACGGATACTACTGGAGTTCAGATGCTGCTAATTGACAAGTCTGATATTCTTAGCATGCTAGTTAAGATATCTTCAAGTTCAAGTGACACTGTTCTTGGGTTTGCTAGGTTCTTACTCAGCTAATGAAAACGTTTGCTGATTGGAACCAGTGCAAGAACTTGATCTTTGCTTCAAAAGAATGAAGTCTCTCATTCATTGTGGTAGCTATCAACTATAGCTACTTGAGATGTATTAGCTTGAAAGTTCTTGCGTAATACTTCAAAATGAGAGATCACAAATCATTTTTCATTTCTCCTCTGTGAACTGGTTTTTCACCTATTTTTATGCAAATAATAATTAGTCTTTTTTAATTACTCACTAGGAGACTAGCATCGCTCTTCCTTTTCTTTTATAACCCAAGGGGACAAGAAAAAAGGACCAGCTACTTGGAGCCCTTGAAACAGCCTGTCAGCACCATGATTCAGTTAAGTTCAGGCTTTTGGCCTGCGGAGGTGGCTCGAACCCGAAATCGTTTGTGGGATTTGAACGAATAACCTTCGGATCCTGAACTGAAATTCTATCCACATCCTCAATCAACCGCATTAATACTATGAGTGCATTATTCGTCCTTTCTTATTCCCTTGGTACAGAAGTGGGGCTAAATGACTCTTTTCAAAAATATGTGATGCATCATACCGCCGCGTAGACGATGTGATTGGGCCACCGCCATCGAATTATAAAACTCCTCTCTTCTTCTTGCATCAGCAAGCACCACCATGCCCTCTCTCTTTCATTTGCTTCTTTTTTTTTTCATCACCACCTCAGATCAGCAAAAATCCACTTGGTTAAACCATAACTAGTGGATCCCACATCACTCTCACTTCTCCCTCTCTCTCGAGCAAATATTATTGAATGTAATTCTAAATTGAACATAGACCATTAAATTCGATACGTGAAAATATTTAATTGGAGAGGCAAATGAGGATCTTGAAATATTTTAACTCAGGACCTTCTCTCTGATATTATGTGAGATTTTGTAGGACTACCGTTAATTATTCTAAAAGCTTAAGCTATTAGATAAACGTGTGATTTAATATTTAATTATTCTAACAGGTTTCAGGTGAATCCCATCAAATTCAATTTAGTACATATAACATAGTCACTGAATAATTATTTCTCCCTCTCCCTTTCAAACTCTCTCTCTCTCTCCCAAAAGAATATTCAAACAAGAGATGCAGAAGGAACGAACACTCACACGAGCGAGGCCAAGATTCTCTCGCACGTACCACCCCAGGAACTGTACCGTAGTGGATAAAGAAACACCCCCATGGCCTATAAATACCGACCTCGCTTCAGCAATCTGTACTTAGGAGACAAGCACAGTGTCCTCTTTGAAGTGTTTTCTTCCTCTGCATCTTCATCAACCCCTTCTTTCCCTCTCACCTTCTCTTCCATTTCAGTTCCCTTAGAACGACCCGAGAAATGGAGGGAAAAGGAGGGCGGTTGAGCGACTTCATGCAGAGGGCGAGGCCGTATATTGCGATGGTGTCACTGCAGTTCGGGTATGCAGGCATGAACATCATCACCAAGGTCTCCCTCAACCGTGGCATGAGCCACTACGTCCTCGTCGTCTACCGCCATGCCTTTGCCACCGTCGTCATCGCCCCGTTCGCCCTCATCCTCGAGAGGTACTTATATATATATTGAGCGACAGAGCAATCCATCCCAACTTCTGTTAGCTGCTTATGAGAGAGATCAAGAGGGACGAAGAACATGCGGGATTAATTGATTTGGAATAATTTGCAGGAAGGTGAGGCCGAAGATGACATTCGCCGTGTTCATGCAAATCTTTATGCTGGGACTGCTTGGGTATGTAATAATGAAGAACACTGCAGCTTTTATTTCTCGACTTCAAAAAAATATATTGTTTATGTGAATTCTTATGCTGTGTTTTCTTTTCTTGTTCCGCGGTACTCAGGCCGGTGATAGATCAGAACCTGTACTACGCGGGTCTGAAATTCACGTCCCCAACCTTCTCATGCGCCATGAGCAACATGCTCCCCGCAATGACATTCGTCATGGCGGTTATCTGCAGGTACCGCATTTTTTTAAAGTGATGGACTGCTCTTAGTATATCTAGCATCGTATCATAGACTTTATCCTTCTTGAGCATTCGATGACATGCTTACACTCAAACGGTGTAACAGGATGGAAAAGGTGGATATGAAGAAAGTGAGGTGCGTGGCGAAGGTGGCAGGGACAGTTGTGACGGTGGGCGGCGCCATGCTGATGACTCTGTACAAGGGAAATGTCCTCAACTTCCCGTGGTCAGAGCACATCCACGGCCATGCTTCGAACAGCTCTGAGGCGCCACAATCCGCCGACAAGGATTGGGCCAAGGGCTCCATCTTCCTCATCATCGCCACCCTCGCTTGGGCCGCTTTCTTCATTCTCCAGGTAACTTAACAAACACACAAGTTCATATATGTAGCTAAACACTCGTATATTCACTTATTAGCACTATGTGAGACGCTCATTTGTTCAAACATTGAAATTACAGGCAGTGACCTTGAAGAGATACACAGCACATCTTTCACTGACGACCTTGGTGGTGTTCATGGGCACTCTTCAGTCCATTGCTGTGACGTTTGTGATGGAGCACAAGGCTTCCGTTTGGTCCATTGGCTTTGACATGAACCTTCTCGCCGCCGCCTATGCTGTAAGGAAATTTACTTTAAAAGAAAAATCAACAGCACAACTTAAGTCTATATCATGACCAACATCGTTGCACGTCAAACAGGGGATAGTGTCATCGAGCATCGCATACTACGTTCAAGGGTTGGTCATGAAGAAAAGAGGCCCAGTCTTCGTCACCGCCTTCAGCCCCCTGATGATGATCATTGTGGCCATCATGGGCTCCTTCATCCTCGCCGAAAAAATCTATCTCGGAGGGTAAATTCCTCTCGTCGCCCTTGCAAATGTTTTCCTTTCAATATTGTCCCCATCAATAAAGATGCAGAAACTGTGGCACCATGATTGAAGAATGCCTTCTCTTGGTTTTTGTTTCTCCCACATAACTTGTGATCACGTCATCTATCAATAGGATCACTGTACTATATATTATGTATGTTAATATATAGTATTTATTCGATATGTGGTACAGGGTTCTTGGTTCTGTCCTGATCGTGGCCGGGCTCTACTCGGTGTTGTGGGGCAAGTACAAGGAGTTCCAGGAGAAGGAGGCAGAGGAAATCCCTGAGCCAGTCAAAGACCATCAAAACTGCCACACACTCGACATCGAAGCCGCTAACAACGACGACCTTGAGATGCAGAACCGCGGCTTCCAGGAGACAATGGCGCCGGTGACCGTGACCGGCCCGATCATCCAGCCTCCCATGGTCGCCGTGAAGGCCCCGAGGCCCAACTGATCTCCCACACTTTGACATTGAGAGAAAACTTGAGAGTTTAGTAATGAATGAGAATAAGAGGAGGGAAGAGGGAGGGGCTTCTGTGCTTTCAGTTTTCGCTCTTCTTCGATTTTTCACTCTTTGAAATTTTCTTTTTTATTTTTTGAGATGACTGACTAGCGGCCTTTGGTTCTCTGTAACACTATGGTTGAACACGAAAATTTGAGAATGCAAACTCCATTTTGTTTAATTTCTTCTAAATTTTTTTGTTGAGATAAATGATTTTGCATTGGACTAAGTATTTTTCGCGATGGATAATTTCGAGAATCTCCTCGGCACACGTGTCGGAACTGCTGATGTCTGATGCAGATTCCACTCGAGAGCCTAAGTGACTGACATATAGATTCCCATTAGAAACTCTTTGGTTGGGTGATCGAATCTTTATTTGATCTAGCATCTCATTTTTCTAACTTCAAGCTTTCTTTGCTCCTACAATTTCAAAATTTCAAAAACAAGAAAGAAAGAAGGAATAAACTAACATTGTGATTTCAAAGTAAATATATCACGAAAAGGTCACATGAATGAGTCATTTTTAACCCTCGGATAGTCACAACTAGATGAGATGTTGAGAGATTTTTACCTCGGAAATTGAAGGTCGTATGTTCAAATCTTGCAAATTACATACAAACTGCTCTGAACTAGGCCCACGTGTACAAGTCGAAGGCATGAGCCTTGCTGATGTATGGAACATGTAAAGTGTTTCATTGAACCTCCAAGTAATCGAGTTTTCTCGTCCGTAACCTTGAGTTATCAAAATACATGTAAAGAAGAAACAAGGAGGAGTTATGGTTCGGGACACGGCCCCCACTTTCTTTTTCCAAATTGGTATATTCTCTATTGCCTTTTCTTATGGTTGTATTGTCAAGACATACAATCAAATCGTCATTTCTTCGATAGAAAGAACAACCTCTCATTTCATCACGCTAGATTCATCTGCCATTATTGGGTCGTCAAATATGAACATTAACATCACACAGGTTCTAATTTTAAGTTTTTGTGATCAATCGCTCCACCTAGAATCATGTACTACATTAAGAACCGATTTCCATGTACATGAAACGGGCAATCTGTTATATTCAATTGGGATGGAAAAAGTTTGGGGTGTTTGAAGTCTCACATGAGGAAGGGCGATTCCTACTCATATCTTAATAAATTTGTTCATGGCTTTTGACAACACAATTGCTTAGTTGGATTATGGTTCATCTTGCTCTATGAACGAGTAAATATCTATGTGTGTGTGTTCGTGTCCACTCATCTGTTTCAACCTAGTTGTCACACACACATATATAGCATCCTTCCTTTTATTAAAGATTACGTTTTGCTACATAAAAGCTTATAGCTAGACAAAAAGCTTTCCTATTTGCTAAATTTAATCGGGCGTAGTTTAGTGGGAGAAGAAGAAGACAAGGAGGCAGCAAAATAAGGTGGTGGTGGCTATAAAGAGTCATTGAAAACACCCACTAGGGCATTGCCTTTTCTTTTCATTTTTCTTTTCATTAATCTTGTTAGAAAATTCAATTTCATTTATTTTGTCCCTTGATGGCGAAGTCTCCACGATAAATGATGAACTCTTTCTATTGAGATTTATCACAATACCAATTATTTTTAAGATCATTTCTTTCGTAGTTAGGTTATACTAAAAGTCCGCTTTTGGTCGCTAAACTTAGTGCATTTTTTCAATAAGAACTCTTGGATATTTCTAATCAAAGTTCTTGAACTTACATAAGTTTTGTAATCAAGTCTAGTCAGTTCAAACCGACGTGTTATTGGAGCTAGTAAGAATTTCCACATAGAAAGTTCGAGTGATAGCCGGTGGTGAGGTATTATTGCTTAAGGTCTTGTTGTGGGCTTCATCTTCGAAGTTCTTAGTCCCGCAAATTAGATGACAGTCCACGGCAGTAGAAAAATTTTCCGCGCCATACTCTTAAGTTCAAGGGATTGACTAAATAAATTAAAAGTTCAAAAACTTAATGGGAAAGAATGCGCAAGTTCAGGGACCAATAATGTACTTTCAACTTAGGCTGTATCTGCACTAGGTAACATGGTATTATACACTAATTGGTGGATTAAGGACCAAACATTAGTAGACAATTAAACAAATAGCCAAACCTAATCAGAAATCTCTCTCTCTCTCTCTCTCTCTCTCTCTCTCTCTCTCTCTCTCTCTCTCTCTCTCTCTCTCTCTCTCCATCACCTTGTTCGCCGTTGCCGTGGCCACGACTGTCAAGCTGCTTTGATACCGACAATCTTCGATATGGTTGTAGAACCCTGAGGTTCATCATCTTCAATGAGAGAGAGATGGGAAACCCAATTTGGAATTTTTAGTGATAGCTGAACTGTTTAAGGTATTAAGTTCACATGTAGATCATGGAAAGAAGTGAAGAATGGCGGTTTTATCACCGGATATCAGAGTTAATATTGCTATATATCAGCAGCCTAATGTAATCTTTTCTTTCATCCGCCATTTCCGGGCAAAAATTGACGAGGCCCAAAGAGCAAAAACTGGTGATCCACACTCTTATTGGCCGTCACCATCCATGGAATGGAAAAAATAATCATGCCAATCTTGAACATCTGATTTGCAATTATTTGAATAGCACCCCTCCCAAAAGAATTGATCTCCACATGCATGAGAGCAACACGTTTTATCACGCCAAAACAGCGAAAGATCGTGTCCAACAATGGCCACCAATCTAGCTAACTTCAATGACGATTTGCACCATCCCCACCACACAAAACCTCGCACCCGGAACTGAGTGAGCCTCACTGATCGCGCAACTTCCATGAACGTTGGTCGGGACTGTTCAATCGTGATTGTTGCGACTGCCACACCAAGCGACGGTATCGCTCACTAAGTGATGAGACAGCATAGGCACGCAAGTCTAATACGCGATAGCTGATAAGGACTTCAGAGGAATACTGGTATAAGATGCCTCTGGAAGAAGGAATAATGCTTAATCTGCATGGAAATCACTAGCAAGCTTCGGACAAGAGATTGTGCGTCTGCGATTCTCCACATAACTTTTGCTTCTTCCATATCTGCCTCGTTGTCTCTAATTAAGCACTATGTGTAGATCCTCTTGTCCTGTTGCCAGGAGACACTCGACTAAATATAACACAATAATATTGTTAACCCCCCACTAATGTCCTCATAATACAGTCTTTCCACGCATTTAATTACTCCCATTATTGTCATAATGGGTGTCGTCATTTGTTCACTTCTGGTAGACTTTTCTTGTCCCAAGATCATTGAAGCAAATCCACATTTCGCAATACACCAAAACATGAGAAGCATCCAAGATGTTGCTAGGGAAAAGTCGACCTCGAACGCTCGCTTCACTCCATTTAGTTCAAAAACCTTCCGTTTGCATCTCGAGTTTCGAAACTTATGGACCTAACTGGAGGAGGATTTACAGATTTTTAGATTCATTTAGTAAAGAAGCTAATGATCAGCTTACGTTAAGTGAGGTCTTAATTTAGACAGTCAAGCAACGCCATCAGAGAGTGCTGTTGTGATGAAGACAGAGAGAAGTATAATCTGTCAAGTATGGTGACCTGACCCTAGGGTTCAACCTTATCCATGCAAGATGTCATGAGAAAACAAGATGAAATTCAGAGGAAATGATGGTTCGGACACCATCGTTGAAAATTTGACCACCTGAATAGTGGCCAACACCTTTAAACTGTTTTCCTTTGTCTGATTCATCTCTCTCTCTCTCTCTCTCTCTCTCTCTCTCTCTCTCTCTCTCTCTCTCTCTCCATCAAAATGCCATCAAAATGTACTAGATTGGAAAAGAGATGATGTGGTCGAATGTAGATAGGGTATAGTGCATCCCAAGCATGGTGTCGCTATGCTAGAAGGCGTTTGGTCCGTGATACATTATACGGCGTTCATGTGATTTGATTTGTCCATACCAAATGAAAATGTGGAAGAGACGCCACAGTATTTTTCCAAGGTGCTCAAAGAGTATAATTTTGCGATTTGATTGAGCATGCACATCCTTATTCATGCTTAAGACATTCTATTTATAGTCATGAGTCTGTAGAACCTCACTTTTACGTTCTAAAACTCATTTCTAAGCCCAAGTTTTGGATGTTCACCCCTAGTTTTGGACATAGGCCGCACTGGCTGGTATCGGTTTTGGACATGTCCTTATAGTCATGAGCCTCTAGGATCTCGATTTTACATTATGAAGCTTGTTACCAACGCTTTGGACGTGTTCTTCACATTGTGGATGTGCTTCCCATGTTTTGGACACCACTGATTTCAATTTTCAGTAACAGGTTTGGTATCCATACCAATTGTTTCACCATGTATTCTAATCTGCTTTTGCCATGTGTCTAACCATAATCTCCACCGCTCCTATATTTAAAGGATAACATTTGACAAGAAACTAACCCTCCTTGCACTTTTCTCGAAATTTTAACAGGTTTAGGGTCAATGCTAGCCGCTTGTGCCGTATATCAAACCCTTATGCCACGTACATGCCAACCATTTTAGCCATGTGTCTTCCAACCACTTATGCCACTTTTATACCAACTACTTTGAGACAGGCGTATGTCAACAGCTTCTAACGCACCAATCTTCGTTTCCCCTCTTCGAACCAACCGGGCATGTCAAATTTTGGTGCCAACATTGGCCAATACCACTCTTGTACATGTCAATCCTCCTGTTGACCAAACTTAAGCCAATCACATTCCGATCGATATAATCTAATGAAATCTTATAAATATAAAGTCGATATCTTCCGATGTGTCCCCAAGCCGGTCTCTTTTTCAAAATGACCGATACCTGTTGTAGTCTTATAGCCATTTTTGGGTTCCCAGCAACATCCTTAACTTACTTTCTTAAAAATTGAAATGGTCATGATTCAATTTTTTTATTTTTTTTATTTTCGTAGGACCAAAACAGGTGCACAATCAATTTGGGCTACACTACCAATTTGAACATTTTTACCGACTGAAAGCGGGCTTAGCCCTTTAGTGGGCTTACTCTGCTGAAAAGGTTGGGCCTAGCAACTAGTATACTCATATGCTACATAACGAGGGATTGAGGCTCTTGGAGAGCCCAACTACTTCAAATCGATTATGAGAAGGCTTCATCTCAAATCTTAATAATCACCAAAAATCAGCAGGTTAATGTTAATCAGGTTAGGGTTAATCTTGGAAAGCTCGACTAAAATCGGTTTT